TCGAAGGTTCATTTGGAGTTGGAAACCAACTTGATGCAACAGATATTGGTTATGGTGGTTAATAATTCCATTTGGTAATGGGTTTTCATTGTTATGTTAATGCACCAATATTAGTATAGGGTGAGGTAGAAAAGGACCAGATTAGCCAACAGATACGGGAAGGAACACAGATGCCATGCCACATAAATATCATTGAGAAGCGAAGGAATAGAAGCTGAAAAAACAAGGACCTTTCCCCAGAGCAGAGAGAGTGAGAAAGTCTTTCCCTAGAAAACAGTGCCCTGAATTTGGACTTCTAGCCTCCTAAACTTTGAGAAAATAAATTTATGTTTGTAAAAGCCCCCAACATTGGTACTTCTATTGTAGAAGCACTAGATAATTAAGATGACATGCACAAAAGCTTTCTGTGCAACTTAATGGTATAGAAAGAACAATAAAGGAACTATATAGTCAAAGAGACAATCTGTTAACATTACCTCATTAACATAACAATGACAGTATAGTTTATATGTTCCAATTTAAACTAGTTAACTGGGACCTCCTAAAAATTAAATGCTTACACTCATCAAAAGATTTCACCAAGAGTAAAAAGATGAGGAAAAATAAAATTGGCAACAACATATCAAATAAGGGTCGAATTTCTAACTTTAACATCTGAAAAATAAAAATTCAAATAACCCACCATGCATTAGAACCAATGAGGCACCAAACAACACAAAATTCCCCCTTGCTTGGTCACACGCCTTTATGCTGAGAGTTTACCACTCTCCTAACATTTATGTAATCATTTATTTGTTTTTCTTTATAATTTCACCACTAATGTGTGAATTCCTAAAAACGGAGTTAAGTTTTGCCTGTTTTTGATCTTCACATAAATGTTAGCATATATATGCATTTATATATTTTTTTATTTAATAATATGTTTGTATTCATTACATAAGATTTTCTGTAGCTGTATAATTCTCCATTAAAATATATAAGTTTTTCTACCTTACACATTTAGTCCAATTTTTGGCAATATAGATTATATTGCAATAAATATTCTTTTATTATACCTAGAAAACACAATCATGCTTTTTTGTGTGAGTGTATATACAGTTAGGAAAGAGAATACTTTGTTACAAGGTATGCATGATTTTAACTTGACTTAGTAACATCCTCCAGATTTCAAAGTAGTTTTTACCAGTTTACATTTTCAATCTATGAATGAAGATCTCCAATATTTCACATCTTCACCAGCAACTGGCATTGCCAGTTATGTTAATCTTGCCTCCTATCTATGAAGTGGTATCTTACTATGATTTTATTTTGTACTTCTCTGCAAATTGAGGTTGAACACATTTTCAAAGGTTTTCTAGTCATTTGGATTTCTTTGAACGTTCCTATTCAATGTCTTTAGCTTATTTTATGTATCTATATAAATATATAAAATGTTGTTGTTAAGTGCTGTTGTGTCAGATCTGACTTATATCAACCCTGTATAGGGTTTCTAAGGAGCAGTTTAGGGGGTTTGATCTGCTGACCTTGTTCATAGTCCAGTGCTGATCGTACAGCACTACACCAGGAATCCATATATACATATACACACACACACACACACATACACATCATGCCACTCTGTGGCTTGTCTTTATACCCTTTTAATGGGCTTTTATGGACAAAGTTCTCAATTGTAATGTAGTTAAGTTAATCTTTTACTTTTGATTGGTGGTTTCTGTGTCTTTGGGCTTTCTAAAACGTCTCGATAAACAACGGTGTTCACCCCTCAACCGACTTTCTGAAGTTTTAACTACACACCCTTACCCCACTGCAGCATACTATCTGCCAGTGTTTGAAGCTCACCTGGGCAGCTCTTGTTGGAGAATCCCTCCTCTAAGAACCAAGGTTCTCTTCCTTGCTCCAACTTGAAGATCACTTCTGGTTTGAAAATGCAGTACCCTATAGACAGAACAAATGATGACTGAAGATAGATCAATGAGCTTTTAGTCTCCAAAAGCAAAAGCTAGTTTCAACTTCAAAAGTAGCATCCTGCAGGTGATCATCTAAAAATCTCACTAGGGATGTGACAACACAACAAGTTCTAGTCCTCAAAAGGGGTCAGTCACTTTGGATTTCTGAGTGAAAACCTAGAAACATAGACTAGTTATTACAAAGGAAATGCTTTATCTAAGGAGTTACATGGTAACTTATGTGTATGTCTATATGCTCACCCACTGAGACGAGGTGGCTGTAGTTCTCCAGCATCACATCTCTGTAGAGGGTCCTCTGAGCAAGACCCATGTGCTGCCACTCCTCCTGAGTGAGCGCTATGGCCACGTCTGTGAACGACACTGTCACCTGCAATGGCACATTGCTGTTCAATCCGAAGAGTTCAGAAACAAGCCACATGGAAAATACTTTTGGGAACGAATTCCTATCATGTTTTCTGTAAACAAATGATTATAAGGGATGTCTATTTTGGACCTAATTGTTTCTTATACTTTGAAAGTACTCAATTAGTAAAAATGTTTAAAACATAATAATTTGATTGTGTATATATATATATATACTGCCAACATATATATTGGTATAACACTTGTTTAAAAGTTTTTTAGTAAAAGATAAACATATATAAACTTTCTTCAATTTTATTTCCACATGCCAATAGACTACTTGTGCATACTCTATAGCAGAAGTCAGCAAATAATGACCTATAGGAAAATATAGCTTGATGCTTCTATAAATTTTATTAGGACAGAGCCAGATTCAGTCATTTATATACTATCCATAGCTACATTTGCACCAAAGCAGCAGAGATGAGTATTTCCATTTCATACTACAGATACATCAAAGATAAATACATTCACTAATTGAATTGCAAGTTAATGCGTTGGACTGCAAGGTCAGTTTGAACCACAAGGTTGGTCGTTCAAATCCACCAGCTGCTCCTAAGAAACCCTATTAGGGTCATTATGGGTCAGAACCAACTCGACAGCACTTAATAACAACAGCATACAGTAAAAACTGCTAAGTACTGGACTAAACAACATAGTTTTACTGTATACTCTTGTTGTTAAGTAACTTCAAGTTGGCTAGTAAGCTTGAACCACTGACCTTGCAGTTCAAGCCAACCTTGTAGTCCAGCGCATTAACCACAGTGCCGTACCAGGACTCCAAATCCATGTTGTACCCAGAGATATATGTAGAATTATAGTTAAAAAACAAAAACAAAAAAAACACCAAAAAAACTAACCAAAAGAAAGTTGATGTGGTTATATTAATACCAAACAGAGTCAATTTAAGGGCAAGAACAAATTCTGAAAGATAAATAGTTTATAACAATAATATGGTCCTTTTTACAAAAAGATCTTAGAAACCTAAATTGTAAGCACCTAAAAAATACAGATTCAAATACATAAACAAATGCCAGAATACATAAATACATAAACAACTCAAATACATTCAATTCAAATACATAAACAAACTCCACAATTAGGATTTTCACATAACTCTCTAAGTAACTCACAAGAGAAACAGATTTAGGAAAATCAATAGGGATATAGAAGAGATCCACACTGCAGCCCACAGTTTAAATATGACCCAACATCTGTTTTTTGTGTATATGAAACACCGGAACACAATCATGCTTGTTTTATGTATTATCTATGGTTGCAATCAACAACAACCACAATGGCTGCTTCAGCACTAACAGTGCACAGTTTAATAGTTGTAATAGAGACCATACGGCTGGTCCACAAAACCTGCAAAGCAATGATAGTTAAAAAAAAGTTTTCCTGACTGTTGATGTAGACGATCTTAATGATATATCAATCAACTTGACTGACATATACAGGCATACCTTGGAGAAAGTGTAGGTTTGGTTCCAGATTACCTCAATCAAGTGATCACAATAAAATGAATCACATGAACTGTATGGTTTCCCAATGCATATAAAAGTTATATTTAAACTAGACTATAATCTATTAAGTATACAATAGCATTACATAAGTTTGAAATTTTGGAAGAATTATTAAAACATGACAGAGACAATAACTGAGCAGATGCTGTTGGTGAAGTGGTACAGATAGGTTTGCTCGACATGGAATTGCTACAAACCTTCAATTTGTAAAACATGCTGTTTTTACAAAGTGTAATGAAACTTAATACAACAAGATGAGGTATATCAGCCTGTACAGGATTACCACTGGATAATCTAAATTATTTTTGATACACATTGTACATTCATAAAAAGAGGCTGTCTCACCAAATTAGAAAAAAATTACAATCATGTGGTCTTCAATTTTACTTCAGTGATATAGAGAGCCAAGATTGGCAACATAAACAGCTTTACAAGTTATCTTTAATGACTTTTCTTGAACCCAGAGAATTAACGCTGCATGGCAAACAACCAATGTGAAATCTTTCTTACTTAGAGCAGACTCTACTATACTCCTTATAAGCCACAGAATATATAATTAGGAAAAATTAACAAACTTGCTAAAGGGGTCAATGTGAGTGGGAAGACCCTAAAAGGGTGCACACATAAGAAGAATTCTACCCTCCTATAAGATTTTGCTCAAGGGACCCAACCTGGATGTCACAGAGAGGGGACTAGAAAGAATCCAGAGGAAGGTCTCCCTTACTCTCCATGGTATTAGCTAGGGTAGGAAAAGAACAACCACTGCCTAAATTCACTCTCCACCTGAGAACAAAATAATCATGTTTTGTAAGGCTCCGAATGTCTTCAAAAGACATGACCTAAACCCACTACTGCTGGCTGGCTGGCTGGCTCTGTGCCGTGGAGTCGGTTCCAACTCATAGTGACTCTGTCCAGGGTTCCCGAGGCTGTAAATCTTTACAGGAGCAGAAAGCCTCGTCTCTCTCCCGCGGAACAGCTGGTACTTTCGAACTGCTGACCTTGAGGTTCGCAGCCCGATTCGTAACCACTACGCTACCAGAGCTCCTTAAACCCACTACTGCAGGGGGAGGGAAAATGAGGCCACTACCAAAGGCTGCCTAGAGTTCCTGTATGGTGCTGGACTACTAACCACAAGCTAACTACAAGGTTGTTCAAACCCACTAGTCATTCCTGAGAAATCCTATATAGGGTTGCTATGAGTCAGAACATAAGCCAAATGCCACCCAGACCCATCCCTCCTATGTCTTCTAAGTCAAAAATTCTGGAATCGGAGTTCACAGGTTGAGAGTTCACAGGCTGATTAGCCCCATTCCCAGAGAGCTGTCATTATTTAACCTGTCTGTTGGTTCCTTGAAAGACTCCCCTCACAAGGCTATCTTTATTTGACCAAAGTTGTTACTCATTCACTATAAATAACATTTCTGCAGAAGGTATCAGTAACAAGGAAAAAAAAATTAAATAAAAAAGGCAATTTGAAGAACACCCATACTTTCAGATAGTACCCATCTGACCTAGCCTCAATGGCTTGATAATCAGAACTCGACTAGAGGTAGATAAAAAAAGAAAAAAAACACAATTTTTTGATAAAGGAAACAAGGGTAAATTGCTACAATTTGATGAACTTGACCAATACTTATGGATGTAGTAGCTTAAAATATCAACAGAGAGGGAAGGAGTCTTCACATCAAGTATCAATGCTATCTCCTCTGTATATAGGTAGATATAGGGACGGGCAATTTAGACATTGGCTACCTAAAATGAGGGGGCAATAAAGGCATGAAGTGACTGGCTTACAAGTGTTCAAGAGGGAGTATAGTTTAAAAGTGTGCGCAGAAAGACAGAGAGCCCGCTGAATAGATGTCATCTTGTCTAGATGGGTCTGGTTAAAAGAGACTGGGATAAGATTCTTATGATTCACTAGTGAGTAATTGGTATCATGATAAATTGCGACTGTCACAATTGTAAAGGTAGAAGTTTTGTAACAAAAACGAGGGAGTAGTTAATCTTACAGTCCAGAAACAGAGAACCCTAGGATCATCAAGGGAGAAGAGCACAAGTGGAATGTGGGACCCTATCCAGAGAAGCAGTAACACTGTAGATGAAGGTAGGGATGGGGACATGGAGAGAAGCATCAGCTGAGGATTCTAAATTCATGGAATTAGAGGGACTGAGAGGTGGTGACCAGGAAGCAGGTTTACAGAATATGCCCTTTGGTGGTTTAAATTATTATATATGCCTGAGTGTTTAAAAAAAAAGAGAGAGATAAAATGAATAAAGAGAATACTGTTAACTGATGGTACATGGAGGGAATTAGAATCATTGAAAGTATATGATTTGTTGAATGTAAAACTGATGATCTGCCCTGTAAACTTTTACTCAATTTACAATAAAAACTTTAAAAATTGATAACCATAAGGCAAATGATAATCCAAACAAAACGCTTACAAGGAAAATCTTTAGAATGAGAAGTTCACAGCAGATTTAAATAACTTAGACATTCCTGAGGTTCTAGAAGGCCATGAGAATGTCCACAGCAGTATGTACGCTCAGGAAAGACCTGAGAAGGTCCTAGATTCTCACCACTTGCTAACAGTGAAGCTCTGTGTAAGAAGAAAGTGAAGGCAGGTGCAGAGTTGCAAACTGCCAGGATGACTTTTGAAGGAAAGTCCCATCACATGCCAAGCCTCTTGGAACAGACTGGGGGGACTTACTGGCTACAGACACTTACGACCAATTATTAGATGATCACTAATTAACTAAGCAAACATCTGTGCTAACACAGAACAAATAATAAGGATGTTACAAAATTATTACAAGAGAGTAACTTAAATGAACAACAATCCTTGCAACGGTCAGGGAGACTATGATTTCAAGAGAGGACACATTATATTTTTGAAAATGTTCAGATCGTAACAATTATTAGACATGCAAACAAGAAAGAAAGCCATACACGGGGGAAAAAAGAGAAATTATATATGCAACAGTCCCTGAGGAAGGCAAGGCAAAGACTTTAAAACAGCTAATTTATATATGTCCTAAGAGTTCTGGTAGCATAGTGGTTATGAATTGGGCTGCGAACCGCAAGGTCAACAGTTCAAAACTACCAGCTGCTATGTGGGAGAAAGATGAGACTTTCTGCTCCCGTAAAGATTTACAGCCTCAGAAACCTTGTTCAGGGTTGCTATGGGTCGGAACCGACTCGACGGCACTTAACAACAACAACAACAAGAATTAATGAAAATAGTATCAAAAGAACTATAAGCAAATATGGCAGCAATGTGTCAACAAATTAGGAATACCAGTAAGAAACAATGTTGGAAGCCTCTCACTCCCTGATTTCAAAATCTATTACATGGCTACAGTGGTCAAAACAGGATGGCACTGGTACAAAGAAAGATACATTGATCAATGGAACAGAATTGAGAATCACGAAATTAAC